AAAAAAAAAAAAAAAAAAAAAAAAAGTAGGAGGAATATATAATTGTGTGGCAGCAGGTTGTGGATTAGGGGATGAGATGTGATTGTAAAGAGGTCTATCTTCCTCCAGGTCCTTTCACTGTACCATGGCAGGCTGTCTCAGCTTGGGCCCTCATGGCCACCCAGACCTTCTACTCCACAGGCCACCAGCCTGTCTTTCCAGCTATACATTGGCACGCAGCCTTTGTGGGATTTCCAGAAGGTCATGGCTCCTCAACATGGCTCCCTGCTTTGTTAGTGGGAGCTAACACATTTGCCTCCCACCTTCTCTTTGCAGGTACATCCTTGCTTCCTCTCCCTTGCTTTAATTGTTTACTCTAGTTTTATGAGAAGAAAGGAAACCCCTGAATTTGGATAGGAGGACGTGGTTTTGTTAGATCCTTGGCATCTCTGAGCTTAACCTAATTAACGCTGAGCCAACTGGGTGGGGTAGGAGGTGGAGTGGACTGGTTTCTCCATTGATGCCAGCCTTGCCTTTTCCGAGACAGTAGGTTGCCCACTGCTCCTGCTTTGGCCCTTCCTGTGTGAAAGTCAAGGGCCGAGGAAGAGGCGGCAGCCCCTAAGGAGTGAAACTGAGGCCAGAGTCAGGCCTGAGGAGGAGGAGGAGCCACTGATGGAGATGCGGCTCCGGGATGCACCTCACCACTTCAATGCAGCGCTCCTGCAGTTGGGCCTCAAGTACCTTTTTGTCCTTGGAGTTCAGGTGGGTGTTGGGTAAAGATTAAGGACTAATCACTTTGTCTTGTGTGCTTTACCTCTTTTCTTTTTTTTTTTTTTGAGTCAGGGTTTTACTTTGTAGTTCAGGCTGGTCTCAAACTTGGAGCAATCCTTACCCTCCCAAGTGCTGGGTTTACAAACATGCACTACCATGCCTGACTCCTTTCCTTTTTTTTTTTTGAGATGGTCTCACTATATAGTTCATGCTGGTCTCGAACTTGCGGCCTCTTGCTTTAGTCCTCCTGCCTCAACCTCTTAAATATTGGGATTATTCCCCTTCTTTTATGCTTTCAAAAACTGTAGGAGGGCTAGGCACAGTGGGGCACACCTATAATTCCAGGTACTTTGGAAGCTGAAACAGGAGGATCCTGAATTTGAGGCCAGCATGGGTAATATCACAAAGATGCTGTCACAAAAACAAACTCTGGTTGAGAGCCTTGACTGAGGTAGAGATAAGTGAAGGGGGCTCTCAAGCTCAGTGGCCTTAAATGGCAATTTTTTGAATCCGGGTTTCCTTATCCTAGTCATGGATCATTTCCTTGCTACGACCTGGACTCTGCTAATTGCACATGGAAATTACTCCATTAATAGATGTACTGGAAAGGCTGAGGTAATGGCCAGGATTCTTTCTAAAACTGTGATCATAGAGCCTCCTTTCTTACAGAGGCAGATGTGATGCTAATTTCTTCCTTCACCCTGGCAGGCATAACATATGTGTTAGCATCACAGATGAATAGTGATTTGCCTAAGGTCACTGAGTCAGTAGCTGGGCCAGGAAGAATTGGACTTCTGGGCCGGAGATTTAGCTTAGTGGTCACTTCAATCCCTGGTACCTAAAAAAAAAAAAGGAATTGGATTTCTTAGCTGGCATGGTGGTGTACACCTGTAATCCCAGCACTTGGGAGGCTGAAGCAGGCGGATCATTACCAATTCAAGGCCATCCTGGGCTACATAGTGAGTTCAAGGTCAGCCTGAACTCTATAGTGAGACTCTTAAAAAAAACAAAAAACAAAAAACTGGATTTCTAACTCCTATCCCAGGGTTTTTTTCTAGTGCCATACTACTTTCTCCTTCCTTCCATTTTTCACAGAGGCCTGAAGCACCTCTCCCTTTGCTCTGCTTCCTCCTCCCCTACCCAAATAACTAGTCCCCTTCTCTCTTCCCTTAGATTCTGGCTTGTGCCTTGGCAGCTTCCATCCTCCGCAGGCATCTCATGGTCTGGAAGGTGTTTGCCCCCAAGTAAGTAGATTTCCTTGAGAAGTGGGGTAGTTGGAAGGGACAGGCTTAGAGCCAAGTATGACTGGGCTGGACACAATCTTGCTTCCATAGGGAAAAGTCACTAGATCTGCTTTCTGTCCCCTGAGATGCTTCACCTTTTTTGCAGATTCATTTTTGAGGCCATAGGCTTCATTGTGAGCAGCGTGGGACTTCTCCTGGGCATAGCTTTAGTAATGCGAGTGGATGGTGCTGTGAGCTCCTGGTTTGAAAAATTAGTTCTAGCCCAACAAAGGTAGCCTAGTCTGTGGATGCTGGCACCTGACTACAGAGACAGCTGGAGAAGAACCTGACCTGGACTATACAGGTGCTGGATGATCTGCATGAGAGATTGAGCTTCTACTACCATGCAGCACGGGGCTGCTGGCTGTGGGACTTTGTTATTCTAGAATTCAGGATCATAGTGGAGCCTGGTCCCTTTCTCCCTATTTGGCTGCATCTGATGAATAAAGGGGGTGGTCTCCAAAGTGGAATAAAATAATAATGTATCTATGTATGTCTGAGATGTGGGAGAGTACCCACTGTCGTATAAGGGCTGGGGAGTGTCAGTCTCCCCTCCCATAAGCACAGATTGGGCCGACCGTCTCAGGCAGGCTTCGCTATATCTGAGAACATTTGGCCTGAGGTTGGAATTGCCTGAACTCACTGCCCCTACTTATTCCTATTCTACCTGCCATTTTCTTTTGCCATCCGGTATTTTTAAATTTCTTATTCGGCTAGTAACAGAGAGGACTGAAACTACAAGCCCAGGCATCATGGAGCACAGACTTTCACTGTATGAAGCCTCAAATAGTGCAGTCTCTTGCTCTGCTGTGGCCTTTCACTATAGAACACCTTTTGCCCTATACTTCTGTGGAAGCCTGTACTGCCTTTATCAGACCTACTCACCCATCTTACAGAGCACTGTACCTTTCCCATTGATTATTTTTGACTTGAAGCCAGAACTATATGAATGTAATGTTTCTCTTGTACATTTCCTGTGCCCTCTGTCTATCCTACACTCATGTCATTTTTAAATTTTGTTTTTTGAAGTACTGTACTGGAGATTGAACCTGGGTTCTCAAGCATATTAGGCAAGCCCTCTACCATTGAGCTATCTCTTCAGCCTTTATATCACTTTGATAACAGGTTTTCACTAAGTTACCCAGGCTGGCCTCAAACTTGCAATACTCCTGCTTCAGCCTGGCAAGTTACAGAGGTATAGGTGTGTGCCATCTTGCTGGGCTCAGGTGTCAGATTTGAAATGCTGATAAAAGGTCTTTCTGAGTTGTCCATCAGAAGAATTGGAAGAGGCTCTAGAGAGAAGGGTCAGGATTGCAGTTTGTACCCAGGTGTAGAGATGGGATTGCTAAAAGAAGAATAGATATTAAAGCCATGGAACAGGCAGGTGTCGTGGTGCACATCTGTAAAAGTCCCAGCACTCAGGAGACAAAGGCAGAAGTATTACCTTGAGTTGGAGGCCAGCCTGGATTAGAGTGAGTTTGAGACCAGCCTGAACTGCATAAAGAGACCCTGTCTCTTTGGGTCTTGCTGTTCAGGCTGGTCTCAAACTTATTATATATCCCAGGTTGCCTCAAACTTGGAGCAGTCCTCCTGCTTTGACCTCCCAAGTGCTGGGATTACAGGTGTGCAATCCCATCATGCCATCATGCCCAACATAAAAATTCTTTATCACAGCTTTTTACCTGACATCTTGAGTCCATTACTAACTCGTTGATTCTTTCAGAGATTTTTTTTTGCGGGGGGTAGTGTAGGATAAAATGAAATGGCTGCTTTTCCTCTGTTCTCACACTGCAGTCAACACAGAAGACTTCTATGACTTTAGAAGCTGTGGGATGGTAGCTGTTTTTTGAGACAGGGTCTCACTATGTAGTTCAGGCTGGCCTCGAACTCACTATGTGGCCCAGGCTGACCTCTAACTCATAGTGATCCTCCTGCCTTAGCCTCCTTAATGCTGGGATTATAGATGTGCACCACCATGCCAGGCTAGTGGCCTATGTCTGTAATCCTAGCACTCTAGGAGGCTGAGGCAGGAGGATCACAAGTTCATTCCCAACCTGGGCAATTTAGTGACAATAAAACACTGTCTATATGTATGCTGTGAACTCAAGTGTTATCCTTCTGCTTCAGCCTCCTGAGCACTGGAATTACAGGTGTGTACAACCATGATTCCTGACCCTGTCTCAAAAAATAAAAGGGCTAGAGATTTAGTTCAATCCTCAGTAATGGGGAAAAAATAAAAACTGGGAATTTATTTCCACTAGCAAGCAAGCGATTTTCTAGTGGATATTAGCGAAGTATCCTCATTCAATTCAGTTTTGATACTAACTCCAGAGTCAGTACTGAAACTTTGGAAGTTTCATATCCCAAAGATGGAGGACTTTGGGGCTGGGGATTTAGCTCAGTGGCACTGTACCTGCCTCGCAAGCACAAGGTCCTGAGTTTGATCCCCCGTACCACCCCCGTCCAAAAAAAGAAAACAAAAACGGAGGGCTTTGTTCCCAAGGTGGCTCCCCTCTCCCTGCCACTTGAGATGCCAGTTGCAAGCCTCGGGTTGTTTTACTCATGATTCTAACTGGATGGCTATAAATTGTGTACTCCCACAGCTGCCTCTGGCTCATTCAGTTTGTTTGGGAGGCTCACAGAACTCAAGGAAATGTTTACTTTACCAGTTTGTTATGCTATGTTTTTTTATTTTGTAATTTTGGTTAGGTTTGGTTTTTGAGAATGTGTTTGCTACATTGTTCTTTTGGCCTTAAATTCATAATCCTCCCATCTCAGCTTCCTGAGTACTGTACCTGTGATTATAGGCATGAGCACCCACATGAAAATCCCAGGGTTAAGTGTGGGGGAAGTGGTGCAGAGCTTCCATGTCCTCTTCAGATGCACCACCTTCAAGAATTTCCTGGTGTTCAGATATCAGGATGCTTTCCAAACCCTGTCCTTTAGGGGGCTTATGTAGACTTTATTGCATAGGAATGACTGCTAATAGGCTGGAGGGCAAATCTAGCAAGGCCTGGCTAGTCAGATTCTCCTTGGCCTCTCTGCAGCATTCCTTCAGGCCATGGTGCAGGACCCCTCTGGGATGACAAGGGTCTTAAAACCCAATATCAGATAAAACAGGTCAGAATTTCTTATGGCCAGCTAATGGCAGGGAAAGAGTTTCTATGACTTACCTTGGGGAGGAAATTATAAACCAGGAAATGCAGATGAAGACTGCATATTTCAAAACATCACAGTTGTCTTCTGAAAACAAGAGTGGGGCCAGGGATTTGGCTCAGTGGTACAGCCACCTGCCTCGCAAGCGCAAGGTCCCAAGTTCCATCCCTGGAACCAAAAAATAAAATACAAACAGGATTGTATTTTCTGTTTTCCTTTGTTTTTCAGTTACTGATGGGGATTGAATCCTGCATGATAGGCAAACACTCTTCCATGGAGCTACAGCCCCAGCCTTTTTTGTTGCTATATTCGGGGATAGGGATCTTACTGTGTTACCCAGGCTGGTCTTGAACTCCTCGCTTGAGTGATGATCCTCCCACTTCAGCCTCTTGAGGAACTGAGGCCACAGGTGCAAGCCACCAAGCTCAGTTTCATTTTCACCATGACGTCCTTTGGAATGCAAACATTTTAAGCCAGGTATGGTGACATAGCACTCTGGGAGGGTGGCACAGGAAGATCACAAGATTGAGTCCAGTCTGGGCAACTTAACTCTTTTTAGGGAAACTGTGTCTCAAAATAAAAAATGAAAAAGGGCTGAGCATGTAGCTAGGTGAGAAGGCCTGGGGTTCAATTCCCAGTAATATACAAAAGACAAATATTGTAAATTTTGATAAAGTCCAATTTAGCCTGTTTTTTGTTGCTTGTGCTTTTGGTATCATATGTAAGAGACCATTGCTAAGTGCAACATTTAATTCTAGAACATTTCTATACCCCTCCCCTACTACCTACACTTTGTTTTATAGTCATTTCTACTCTGGGTCACTGATCTATTTTTGGTCTTTATAATTTGCCTTTTCTGGACATTTCATATAAGTAGTTACGCAATATATGGTCTTTTGGTCTATCCTAGAATAGTTTTGAAGTTTATCACGTTGGTACATATATCACTATTTTGCCCCTTTTTATTACTGAATCATTGGTTATGACCAACTGATGAATTTTGTGTTTCCAGTTTTTAGCCAGCCCACCTGGCACCTGGTACCAGGGATTGAACTTAGGACCTTGTGCTTGCAAGGCAGGCATGACACCACTGACTTAAAACCATGGCCCTCTGGTTTTTAGCTCTTGTGAACATTTTATTTTTTTTTTAATTTTTAATTTTTGTTTTTGTAGTACTGGGGATTAAATCTTCAATCACCCTTCACACTGAGTTAAATCTCCAGCTCTATTTTATTTTAATTTTTTTTGAGATAGGGTCTCATTAAGCTAAATTGATCAGGTTGGGCTTGAACTTGTGATCTTCCAGCCTCAGCCTGCCAGAGCGATAGGATTACCTGTTTCATTTTTTAAACTAGCTATTCTATGTGTGTAGGTATGTAATGGTATCTTTTTGTACCCCCAATATTAAGGATTGAATACAGGGCCTGGTGCATGTTAGGCAAACGTTCTATACCTGAGCTACATCCTTAGCCGTATCTAAATTTTTTTTGTTTTTTGTTTATTTGAGACAGGGTCTTGATCTTACTTCAGGCTAGCCTGGAACTCACTGTGTAGCCCAGGCTGGCCTGGAACTCACAGTGATCTTCCTGCCTCAACCTCCCAAGTGCTGGGATTATAGTTGTGTGCCACTATGCCCAGCTCATAGCTAAAGGTTTTAATTTACATTTCTGTAATAGCTAGCTAATCATGTTGACTATCATTTTTGTGTGCTTCTTAGCAATTTGTGTATCATTTGGTAAAATGTCTATTCATTTTTTTTCCATCATAATGTTCTATGAACTTTTAAGCATTTCTATGTGTTGTGGATACTGGCCTCTTATGAAGAATATCATTTGCAAATAATTCCTCCCACTTTGACTTCTTTAAATTGTCTTTTAGCACAGAGTGTTTCATTTTAATGAAGTTCTATTTATATTATTGCTTATGCTTTTATGTATTTAAGAACTCATGGTGGTGCATGCCTGTAATCACAGCATTTATGGTTGTCTTTCTTTTCCCCTGAGATAGGGTCTCACTATGTAGTTCAGGCTGGATTCAAACTCATGTTGATCCTCCTGCCTCACCCTCCCAGGTGCTGGCATTACAAGTGTGTGTCATCGCTCCCAACATGGGAGTTAAGTCTTTATCAACGAGGTATGGTGACACAAACCTGTAATCTCAGCACTCTGAGGTCTAGGCAATTGTAACTGCATTACAGTGCAGCCTGGACAGTTTAGCGTTTTAATGAGACCCTGCCTCAAAATTTAAAAAGGGCTGGGGTTAAAAAAAAAAAAAAAAAGGCGGGGGTTGGCGCTAGGGATGTAGCTTCCTGTGAAAGCTCAGGGTTAACTCTCAGTTACACTGCTAAAAAAACAAACCAAAACTGGCGTGGTGGGCACGCCTATAATCCCAGCATGCAGAAGGATCAGTTCTTTTGAAGCCAGCCTGGGCTACAATACTGAATTCAAGGCCAGCCTGAACTGTGTAGGGAGACCTTATCAACAAAAAAAAAGAACAAAACCCCAAACGACACAAAAACACTCCTTTGCCAAAACCAGCGTTATGAAGGTGTTCTCTCATTTTCTTTTAGAAGTTTTATATTTTTGGCTTTTATAGTTCCATTTTTAACCCATTTTCGGTTGATGGGGGGTAGGGTAATTTAAAAAAACTTTCCCCTACGGTTATGCAATCACCCTACCTACCTCCACTTCTTTAAAGAGAAGGTGGGATTTTGGAGGGCCCTGGTCATCTGTCAGCGCCTGTCCGAGACGCTGTGTGCGCGCCAGGAATTAGCCGGCCGCACTACGACCCCCAGCATGCACCGCGCGTGGCGGCGCTCTGGAGGGAAACAGCGCGGCCCGGGAGCGTGGCTGTGAGGAAGGGCAGAGCCACGCACACAGGTGCTTCCAAGAGTGGTTCTCGGCCGCCTTCCCTAAAGCTGGGCCCCGAGAAGGCCCAGCTAGCGAAACGGCCAGCCGCATGATTCCGACACTAAGACACGCCACCCTCCCTCTGGCCAGTTTGGGTTTCCCCATTTTCCCGCCGGAACTGACTGGAAGTGGACCAACCGCAGTTGAGTTTGGCGGGCCCGGCCAACCAGAAACGAGCGGTGCAAGATTAATTTTGGAAAGATTGGGCCCGCCACGTTGGGGCCCCGAGGGGAGTAGGGTGTCCGCATCGGCCACCATGTCCCGCCGGACCCATCTGGGCACCTTCACTCCACGCACCAGCTGCCTGGACCTGTGGAAGGAAAAGAACGATCGACTTGTTCGACAGGCCAAGGTAATGCAGTTGCTGGGACCCTCGCTTTGCAGCTCCAAGATCCCAGAAAGCCGGTTTGCTGTGGATTTACCTCAGCCAACGGGGAGGAGTAGACTTTAACCTGACCCACTCATCCACCATAGAGCCAGAAATGATGAGAATGCACGCACTCCCCCCCACCCCCGCGCGCTTCAAGGAGAGACAAAAAAACTGATGATTCTCAGTGACGCCCCTTTCCGCTTTTGGCAGGGACTGGTGGCTCAGGAGTGTGGTCTAAGACGACAGCAGTTGACTCAGGACATACTAGAGGGACTCAGCGGGCTCCTCCACAGTCTGAAAGGTATACCTCATTGGAATGGTCACTTCCCTTCCTCCAAAGCCAGATACCCTTCCTCTTCTGCATTTTTGGGGTTGAGGGGGCAGGGAGTCCTGTTTGAGGCACAGAGAAGACTGTGGCTTCCAGGATTGTCTGACATGGAGAACTTCCTGCTCTTTCCAGACTGTTTAAAGGATGGGTTCTTTATTGTGGCCATTTGGATTGGAGTGGGATTATCTCTGAGTTGGGGCCTCTTTCATGGGAGAGTCTGTGAGACCAGCATCTGTTGTTCCAGGGCTCCCAGCAGCTATTCCTCTTCTTCCTTTGGAGTTGACTGTTACCTGTAACTTCATTATCCTGAGGGCAAGCCTGACCCAGGGTTTCACGGAAGACCAGGCCCAGGATATCCAACAGGCCTTAGAGAGAGGTGAGGGCTGGAGATTGCCTTCATATCCCTGCCAGCTTCCCTCTAGCTTTAAGCCTTTCAGGGCTGGGTGAGGGGGCGGTAATAAAGATTGCGGTATTATTGCAATCCTTGGGCTTTTGCAGAATAGAAAAGCCAGAGATTGTGGGGCAATGGAGGATGAGGTTCCACTTTAGCTGTGCATATGTGTACTCTACAGTGCTGGAGACCCAGGAGCAGCTGGTGCCCAGGTTGGAACAGAATCTCAGCAAGCTATGGGACTCTGTCCTCCATGCTTCCTCCCTTCTGCCGGAGTTGCTACCTGCCCTGCACCTCTTGGCTGGCCTGCAGGCAGCCCTTTGGCTGAGCACAGACCATCTTGGGGACCTAGCCTTGTTTTTACAGGTGCTGAATGGGAACCAGGTAATGAAAGAAATGATTTGAAGATGAGGATGTTCTTTCTCCTCTCTTACCTCCAGCTGCAATAGCACTGTTATATAATGGAAAGGCTGCTAGCTTGGTGATCAGAAAACCTAAGTTTTCTTGGGGATTCTTGGGTGTTCTTGCTTGCTCTGGTTGCCTAATTGGGGAATTTGGGGGGAGGGTGTTAAAATACCTTAATTTTGGTAGGGTTAGGGCTTTTGTGATCTTGGTTAAACTTAGTCTTTTTATTAGTAACCCTGATATGGTCCTTGCTCCATGTACTCAAGATCTTCTGAATGAGAAGGGATACTAGAAAAGATCACCATTGGCCCGGATTAATTCATTGTCCTTCTTTTACTTTCCTTTCTTTTCCTTTTTCCCTTCCCTTCACTTGTGCCATCTCGTCATGTTGAGTGAACCCAGGGCCTTCACACTGAGCAATATGTCTGGGCCTTTTTTATTTTTTATTTTGAGACAGCGTCTCCCTAAATTGTTAAATTGTCCACTCTGGGTTCAAACTTGCTTGCAGTCCTCTTACTTGAACCTCCCAGAGAGCTGGGACTCCATGTGTGCCCCACCATGCCTGGCTTCCTCTGGATTTTTCTTTGATTTTGAGACAGACCCTCACTATGTAGTTCAGGCTGGATTTGAACTCACAACAATCCTTTTGCCTCAGCCTCCCAAGTCCTGGGATTACAGGTGTGTGCCACCATGCCTGGCTTTTTCCTTTTTATCCTTGCCTCACAGTATCATTCTGTTAGAATTGGGGCAAAGGAATCAGGACGACCCTTGAGCTCAAAGTCCAGCAAAGATAGACCAAGGAGAAGAAGAGCGGGTGGTTAGAGGCTTAGAACCTCTGAATATCCTTTTTCCAGAACAGGGCTTCTGAGGATCTGTTGCTGCTTCTAAAAACTTGGAATCCTCCAGCTGAGGAATCAGATGCCCCATTAATCCTGCAGAATGCCCGGTGTTTGAGAGATGTACTTTTGACAGCATCTGCATTCCGTCAAGGTCAGCCAGTAATATGACTCATCTCCTCCTCCCATAAGAGTTCCTCTGAGTTTATGTTTTTCCTGTTATGTTCCATTCAGCTCTCTGGGCAGTTGTTTCCCTATGGGCATCTCTAAGCTTGCACCCTGATTACCCCCAGGCCTCCAGGAGCTGATCACAGGGAGCTTACCCAAAGCACTGAGCAGCCTGCATGAAGCAGCCTCAGGTCTCTGTTCACGGTCTGTGCTGGTCCAGGTGTATACAGCACTGGGGAACTGTCTCCGTAAGATGGTAAAGATAGCCCTGGGCAGTTGGGGGGGGATTTGGGGGAAACCATGAGCATTATTGATGGCATTATGCTTTGTGAGAGTATCTGAGGCCTAATCTTTCCACAAATGTAGGGAAATCCACAGAGAGCGCTGCTCTACTTGATTGCAGCCCTAAAAGAGGGGTCAGCCTTGGGTCTTCCCCTTCTGGAGGCTTCTAGATTATATCGGCAACTGGGCAACACAACAGCAGAGCTGGAGAGTCTGGAGCTGCTGATTAAGGTAAGAAACTGGTAGGTGAAGATATGGGGTGGAGTATTGCTGAGGTTCTTGTGTTGGGGTGTCTAGTGAAGATGCAAATATAAGGAAGTTTGGCTCCCAAAGATTATATACTTTATTTTTTTCTGTTCCTTTTAGGCCTTGAGTGTCATTCATAGCTCTGAAGCTCCCCAGATTCTCATTGAGGTAGAATTGCTACTCCCAAGAACTGACCCATCCTCTCCTCTTTACTGTGGCACACAGAGCCAGGTCAAGCACCTGTTAGCAAGCCGATGCCTACAGATTGGAAGGTAAAATTCCCTCTTGCTCACCTGAGCTCATCTTCCCTCCTCTGATGCCTTCCCTAAGGTGTGGCTCTGGTTTAGTTCTTGGGACCAATGAGTGAAGCAGAGGCAGGACATAGGTCCCTACTTGTCAGTTTCCTTCTAGTCTTATTGCTGGACCTGAGCCAAAGACTCTTCATTTAGATAGTAACTTTATTTTTGAAATGTTGAAGTCTCCTCCCTAATCTATTGTGCAACTGAGGTAGAGCCACACTGAGCCAGGGCTGGAGTTCCAAAGACCTACCTCTCCCCTCTCCCCAGGACCATTCGTATCTGTTAGCTAAGAGAGAACATTATCCCTGGAACCCTTAGAGGGTCCTGATGGGGCTTAAGGTAAAGCTGACGGGCTTTAACTCCTCAGGGCAGAAGATGCTGCAGAACATTACTTGGACCTTTTGGCCCTGTTGTTGGATAGCTCAGAGCCCAGGGTAGGTATATCTTTAGGGTTCTCTGCAATGAAGTGAGAGGGTTGCGGTTGCCTTTGGAGTAGAGCGGGACTGCTATTTTCTGTTTTTCTCTCTATGGGTCCATTAGTCCATTCTGGGAGATCAGATCTCTGCAAAGTACCAGAGCTTGGGGAAAGGTAGGGGTACTGGCTCATGCCTCATGCTTGTTTAAGACACTGCATCCTCCTCCCACCCCAGTTTTCCCTACCCCTGTGTCCCCCAGGACCCTGTATGCCAGAGGTTTTCTTGGAGGCAGCAGTAGCACTGATTAAGGCTGGCCGAGCCCAGGATGCTTTGACTGTATGTGAGGAGCTGCTCAGCCGCACATCATCTCTGCTTCCTAAGATGTCCTCGTTGTGGGAAGATGTCAGAAAAGGAACCAAGGAACTGCCACACTGCCCACTCTGGATCTCTGCTGCCCACCTGCTTCAGGGCCAGGCCTGGGTCCAACTGAGGGCCCAAAAAGAGGCTGTCAGTGAATTTACCCGGTGAGCCCAGGAAAGCCACCTAGGGTTCTGGGGAGGTATAGAAGGATAATTTTCTGATTCGCACTGGTTTAGTGAGTTTAGTTCTCATCAACTCGTGAATTTCTGAGCTTGATTCCTTTTCGCTCTTGTCCATGTTTCCCTTCAGTTGTCTCGAACTGCTCTTCAGGACCATGCCTGAGGACAAAGACCAAGGTAATTGGACTTTCAATTTTCTTTATCTCTTGGAAGTCATGGAAATAGGTTCTTTTTCCATGTTTCCCAGCCCATCAGACTGGGAGACCTAAGAGAAAGGGACTCTGAGCACAATAATAAATAGAAGGGTACCTGAGATTTTGGTGTCTCTATGGCTTCGAAGACTCTTTCATGACTTCAGGTGTGGTTCACAGGAGGAGCTTCCAGCTGTGAGCAGGGGTGTAGGTCAGATGTGGCACTGCAATATCTTCGGGCAGCCGCTTTGATCAGTCGTGGACTAGAATGGGTAGCCAGTGGCCAGGATACCAGAGCCCTACAGGACTTCCTTCTCAGTGTGCAGGTGTGCCCAGGTATGTATACATGCATGGTATCAGCTGTGCAGAGATGTGCAAGGAGAGGCCCATGGAGGAGGTACTTGGGCATAGTGTAAGGGAGGTATCCCCAGGTGGGAGGGGTAAAAAGGATTGTGTGTGTGGTATAACCCAGATGTGTACATACAAACATATACAAGTATGTATGCAAGGCTTCTAAGAGTTCCCTGCTCACCCCAGTGTCCTCAGATACAGGTTCTGTGACTGTGTTGGGGTGGTTTGTATAGGAACAGGTTGAGCTGAGCCTTTTGTACTGGGCAGGCAGTAGACCCTGGGATAGAAATGGTTGTTAATGATCTACCCTCCATTTCATGAGTGAGTATAGATAAGGCACTTCTCTCTGAGGCTGTTTCCCTTTTTATAAAATGATAACTTCAGCTATATTGAGTTCTAAGTCTTCATACTCTGGGATGGGCCTGTAGGACACAGAGATGCTTCATTTCACCTGCTTCAGACTCTGAGGAAGCTGAATCGGAGGGATGAGGCCAGTGCTGTCTGGTGGAGGCTGAAGGCTGAAGCTCAGCTGCCACAGGAAGAGGCTACCTGGTGAGGCTGAGGCTTGTAGGCTTGGGACACAGAGACTGACTGGGATCCTGAGTCCTTTGGGCCTGTTTGGGGTGATGAGGAATGAAGGGGAGAGGAGGCTGCTGCTCAACCTTCTTTCACTCTTAGGCATCACCCTTCTTGATCTCCAGGTCTCTCCCCCTGTACCTGGAAACATATTTGAGCTGGATTCAACCATCTGACTTTGAAACCCTCCTTGAAGAGTGTCAGACTTTGCTAAGAGAACCTTGTTGACCTGTAGCTGCCACATTTCCAAGATCTTGATGGTACCTGAATGTACCACATCCGTGGAAGAGCTTTTTCTGTCTTACCCTGGAGAATGTGGCTGGAGCTGACCATTCCTATATAACTCCTGTACTGGTGAGGTTGGAAATAGTCCTATGAAATTTGGCCCATTTGCTGCCATTCTTGTTCCAGAGGAAACATTACCTACCACCAAGGAGTCATTGCCTTTGGTCATGGCACCTTTTTTCCTGTGGGTTTTTTTTTTTTTTTTTTTTTGAGACAGGGTCTCACTGTGTAATTCAGGCTGACCTTGGACTCAGTGTCTAACCCAGGCTGGCCTCAACCTTGCAGCAGTCCTTCTGAGTGCTGGGATTACAGGCATGTGCCACCACACCTGGCATACTCATGTTGCTGGGGATTGAACCCAGAGCCTCACAAATGAACCTCTACCTCTTCAACATGTTTTACGAGCTTGAGGTCTAGGTATGAGAAAACTAACCCTTACTCTGGAAGCAATACTTTAGTCCTTTCCATTGCCTAAAAGCAGAGCCTCAAAGCCAAGGATCCTGTGCTAGGTTAGTGTGAGTGGAGTTAGGTCTGGTGGGTGATCTAGATGGGCCTCTCAGGATATGGCAGGTACGGTACTTTATACTTAAGAGAGATGGGCAGACTTCTCTCAAAATGATTCCCTAGCCCATCTTTACTAGAAGTTGAATCTCAGTCACATGTGTCTATGTGGGTAGGGGTGGAAGGATGAATTGAGTCAACACTCATCAAGAGCTGCCCGTTAACATCAGGGCCAGCAGTCATCTTGGGTCCAAAGACTTGTAGTCCCAGCATACAATTTTCTTGTTGGCTTGGGCTGTATTGAATCTGCTGTGTTCTGTGGTTGTCCTTTGACCTCTCTGGACTTGAGTGCCCTACTGTGTAACAGGAATTAGTGAGACAGGAGTTAGGGTTCTATTAAGCACAGGTTCTATTAAATAGACAGTGGCCCCAAAATGGAGTCTGCTGAATCACAACCCTTCAAGAACCTTCCAAAAACGTGACAGCTTAACTTTCACTGGCTGGGCCCTCACCACAGCATGATCAGACAGCCCATTACCTTAAGGGCACGTAGGTCTTACATGGACACTGAGTGAACACTGCATAGTTGGACCCTAAAAAATAAGTAGTCTTATAGGGCTAGATTGTATTGCTTACACGACGACTCAAGTTCCCTTCTAAGGCCCTTAAAAATCCTTAGCCCTCGTGGTTATCGATCCAGAGCTGGAGCTTTACTTATTACCTTTGTATCTTTTAAATAAATTTGTTTACACCCTACCTCCTCCGCCCCACAGTTTCATTCTTCATCACCAATGGGGCACAACCCCGGCGTTCCGGTACCCCCCCCCATTAATTTCTCAGGGTAAGGGAAATATTCACCCCCAAGCGCAGGAAACTGAAATTACTTAGGAGAGGATGCGATGTCAATAGGGTAGGATGAATTAGAAGCTGGTGTATTAGTCATAGAGTCCAGAATATAGGTGGCTGGGGCCAGTATTTTTGGAGAAGCGAGACGGGTTGGGGTGGAGCAGAGGATCCTTAGATTCCGGGAGAAACAGTATGTGGTCTCACCCACAAGAGGACTAGACTAATACAAGGGTTCAATCTATTGTGCCAGATTCTTCCAATAGGATAGGATCAAACCAATGAACTGGAGACAAGTGGGAAAGTCCGCCTCCAAGAAATTAAAGGCCTTCCTTTCACCAGTCTATCTGGACCTATCTGTTTTGTCGATTGGTCGAAAACCCAAATCCGTCGAGGAAGCGTTGCTTTGCGGCCAATTGACGTGGCGTTACTGGGCGTGTTACATCTCTGTGGGGGGGAGCGGAGCCATAAACGAATTTCCTGATTGGCTGCCGTCCGCGGGTTGCTGGGGAAATGCTCAGAGAGGCGGGCTCGAGTCCCTAGGACAGGCGCTGATTGGCTGAGGTAAGGGCCGCTTTCCTTCCGATGATTCGGCTCTTCTCGGCTCAGTCTCAGCGAAGCCTTTGCTACCGTCGTTTGAGTCGTCGCTGTCGCTTCCCTCTAGCGGATCAGGAGCCATCGTCTCCCACCCGCCCGTCGTCCCGGTGCAGCTGGGAGGAAGCGAGAGGGAAGCCGCCCGCGGGTTTGTCGCTGTTCCTCGTCCCTCGCCTGGGAAAGCCGAGCCCCGGCCCAGTCGGTCTCC